AATAGGACATCAGGGCTTGCTTCTCTCTTTCTGTAACTGTCAAATTCAAAATCTCTGATTTATCTAGATTGATTTAAAAATTTGAGAGTTCTCCATATTTCTGAAATTCTCTCAGCACCTGTGGTAGTGTTGTTCTGGGATGTTTTATGTATAATAAAATATCATCTGCATATGCTGCTATTTTAACCTCCCCCGCTTGTGTTTCTATTCCCTGTATGTTTTGATTTAAGCGGATTGTAGCCAACAGGGGTTCCAGTGCCAATGCGAAAAGTAAAGGGGAGAGAGGGCATCCCTGCCTTGTTCCGTTATATAATGTTATCTCCCCCAGACCTAATATAGCTAGTGTATTGAACATGAAGCGCCAATCCACTCGATCAAAGGCCTTCTCAGCATCGATCGATAGGAATATCGCCGGATGCCCATATCTTTTAGCCATATGAATTAGTGAGATGGTTTTCAGGGCATTGTCCCTGGCCTCCCTTCCTGGAATAAATCCCACTTGGTCTAGGTGTATCCATGCTGGGATATAGGGGCGTAATCTATGTGCCAGTATTTTTGCGTATATTTTTGTATCCACATTCATGAGGGAAATTGGCCGATAACTTGCGCACAAACTGGGATCCTTTCCCTCTTTTCCAATCACTGTTATGTGTGCCTTCTGGGCTTCTAAATGCATTTTAATTCCTTCCCCTATTGTGTTTACATACGCACAGAACTGCTTATCTAAGATGGCCTGAAATCTCTTATAATACAGTATAGTAAATCCGTCCGTTCCAGGACTCTTCCCTGCCTGGGTTGACTCTACTGCCCGTTTAACTTCCTCAAGGGTAATATCTTTTTCCAGTGCATTTAGGCTATCCCCCGGTACTCTCGGCAATCTGGCCTGTGTCAGGTATGTTATTATTTTATCTCCTTTCTCTAGTCCGTCCCTTGATACACCCTGTTTAGGGGGTTCTTCTATGTGATATAGTCCTTGATAGAAATCGTGAAATGTCTCTGCGATTTCAGTCGCGGAATGTACTACTGTCCCAGTTTTATTTTTAATTTTAGAAATGTATGTAATGGATTGTTTGGCCTTAAGTGCTCTCGCCATAAATCTACTAGGTTTGTTCCCCATCTCATAATATTGTCTTTGTATTACATTGAATGCACGTTTAGTATCTGTCTCCGTAATGGTTTTAAGTTGTTCTCTCTTTGATGTCAGTTCCTTCAGTGTCTTTGGGTCTAATGTTGTTTTATGTGTTGTTTCCAACTGATGGATTATTTCCAATAGGGTCTGTATGGCACGGGTTCTCCCTTTCTTGCGGTGGGCCCCTATAGCCACAAGCTTCCCCCTTAGCACTACTTTATGCGCCTCCCAGATACTTACAGCTGACATGCCCTCTGTTGTGTTCTCACTAAAATAATTTTTCAAATCCTTTTCCAATTCTTGGATAACCGACAGATCATGTAGCAGAGAGTCATTTAGCTTCCAGTTATATTGCTTTCCCCTCGTATTCTTAATATTCATAGATAGCTCCACAGGAGCATGATCTGAAATCGTCATAGGCAGAATATTTACTGACCCTAGGTCCTCAATTGCCACATGATCTATCAGCATCCAATCCAGTCTTAAATATGTGTCATGTAACTGAGAGTAGTATGTAAAGTCGCGTTCCTCTGGGTGTAAGATTCACCATATTTCCACTAGTTGGCTTTTAAAAAGCTCCCTTTTCAGGCGTGTTAAATGGGAACTGGGATTTCTTGCCCTTCCCTTTGATGTATCCAACTGTGGATCTAGGCTTACGTTGAAATCGCCTGCCATTATCACTACCCCCTTTCGAAATTCCCCCAGCCTCCTAAGGACTCCCAAAAGAAAAGGGACCTGTAGGCGGTTAGGGCCATAGATATTTACCAGGGTGTATTCCATTCCATTCATAGTAATATGTAAAAACAAATACCTGCCCTCCTTATCTGTCATTCGGGAATGGACTTGTACTGCTACCTTCTTACCAAAGCCTATTGCTACCCCCTTAGACCGCTTGTTATTCGACAGACTGTAGTACCACTGGGTATAGAGCCGCCTAAAATTGGCAGTCCCGCAAGTCCCACAAATCCCCCCCCTCCCCCCATGCCATACCCTCATCACCTTACTTCTACTAATCTGATACAAGTAACAGTAACAAATCAATTTACATCTTCTTAGGTAAATATATCATGTATCCCCAGAAAGCAGACATTTTTACTAAGGACCTCGATACCCCCTTCCCCTCCCTTTGTTTCCCCGTACTCAGTCTTGACAAAGTCAGTTAGCCTTCTATATAGCTCCTGCCCTTCTGGGCTACGTCTTTTGCCAATGATAAACCGACTTTATCATTCCCTTTGAGATGGTTTCCGGCCATCCTGGGAGTATTGGGGGGGGTAATTTTTTACAGAAGTCTACTAGGTCCTCTGAAAACCGTAGTGTCGCTGTTCTGCCTTCTCTCGTTGCAATAAGACAAGCCGGGAATCCCCATCTATATGGAATACGTTGTTCTATTAATACTTGCGTCAATGGCCGAAGGGCCCTCCTGCGTGCCAAAGTCTCAGGTGCCAGATCTACAAAAGTCTGTACTTCCACTCCATTGATTTCCATCCCTGGTGCATTTTTCAAGCTTTCCATAAGTTGTACTTTGTCTGTATGATAGTGAAACCGCACAATTACGTCCCTGGGACTCTCACCCCCCGGCATTCTGGGACGTATTGCTCTATGCACTCTGTCGAAGATCATCTCTGTTGATGGTAACCTTTGCAATAAAGTATTCAAAGTATCTCTGATCTTGCCTGGTAACTCCCGATCTCCTATGGCTTCTGGGACCCCCCGCAGTCTCAAGTTATTTCGTCTGTTTCTGTTTTCATAATCTTCCATTTTATATGATACCGCTCTTATTGTATTCTCAGTAATTCTACTCTGATCCTGTAGCTCCTGGATAGCTTTAGCATGCTCATCAAGGCGTTCCTCAGTCTCCTCTACCCTCTTCAATATCTGCGATAGCTCAGTCCTAATTGTAGTCAGATCCGCTTTTATTGAAGCTTCCATATGCCCCAGCAAACTTGTCAATTCTAATTTCGTGGGCAGAGATTGTGCTAGGGTATGCAAGGTTATTACGTTACCTTGATGAGAGTCCTCTGAGGTGCCCGACATCTCCAGTGAACTGGCTTGTCCGTCCGTGTTAACCCCCATCTGATCTCCTTCATGCTCAACAGCGGGACTACGTCATCTGACTGTGCACTCTCTCTTCCGTCCCGTCCTTGGTGTCTATGCTCAGATGGTTCCGGGGCCCAGAGACGCCTAATCGTCCCCGTCCGGGATGTCTTGGTAGCCGATTTCTTCTGCGCTCTCCTTCCCCCCATAGCGACTGCACTGGAGTGGGGCACCGGAGCAGGATCAGGTCAGTTTTTCTGGGTATACTCTTTAGTCAGTCCGGCATGGAGGGTGATCATCGGGGTTGCTGCTACTCGCGGCCCACCGCCATCTTAGGTAGGCTCCACCTCCCTCTCTAGCTGCTCCATTGATTTCAATGTAAAACGCTCCAAAAACACGTTTCTCACGCATTGTTGTGCGTTTTTGTGCAAAAAGAACGTGTGTTTTTAAGTCACATGCACATTGTGGAAGACCACCTGCAAAGCACAGTGGGAAACAAAATGCCTGAAAGACATTCAAAACGTGCATCTATTTAGGGGGCTAAGCGCGCAAAAATGCGCAAGTGAAAACCACGCGTTTGACGTGCGGAAACGCTGACGCCTAGGTGTGAATGGAGCCTTAGTGCTACTTTCTGTGTGGGGGTCCCGTGCTCTGGATTTGTGTCAGCCTATAGCCCTGTACATTGGAGCCTGGTGTCTTGGGCTGAACGAACAAAATAGAGCAGATTCCTCCATCAACCCTACGAGCCTGTTGATCAAGGAATGTCCGCTGTTTCTTTTGTACTCTGACAGCAGCCGTTGGCCACTGTAAGAATACCCAATCAGAGCTGGCATGTAATTGGCTGCCACCCCTGTTCCTACAAAGATTTTCCGACCAGCTGATTGAGGGATGCTAGCCTAAAGGGTGCTTACAGCGGCACCCACTGTGCAAATGTTTCAGTTTAATTCCACCTAAAAGAACTCTGTGCAGAAATTGTATTAACCCTTGCAGTAGGGCTATCCCCACACTGCAAGGGTTAACTGTGCAAGAGCCTAGGGTATTGGATGTGATGATTCCTAGACCACTGCAGAGAAAGGGGGGGAGCTCTGGGGTCCAGTCTAAGAGCCAGCTGGCTCAGAGGTTCAAGTGAGTATAACTGTTTGTTTGTTTTTACCCTAGGCAAAAACAAGCAGTTAAAGGAGAACTATGGGGTCAGTGTTTTCCCCATAGTTCTCCTTAGGGTAACGGGAGGACACAAGCTAGCGTCCTCCCGTTACCCTAAGCTCAGTATACCGCGAGCTGTAGCTCGCGGTATACTGAGCTTAGGGTAACGGGAGGACACAAGCTAGCGTCCTCCCGTTACCCTAAGCTCAGTATACCGCGAGCTGTAGCTCGCGGTATACTGAGCTTAGGGTAACGGGAGGACACAAGCTAGCGTCCTCCCGTTACCCTAAGCTCAGTATACCGCGAGCTGTAGCTCGCGGTATACTGAGCTTAGGGTAACGGGAGGACACAAGCTAGCGTCCTCCCGTTACCCTAAGGAGAACTATGGGGAAAAACACTGACCCCATAGTTCTCCTTTAACTCTTCATGTGTGCAGGTAGCCCCACTGCAAGGGTTAATACAATTTCTGTCCGGTGTTCTGCTTAAATGGGTTATTGATAGAAAACAGCTCACAGATAAGTAGGTAGGTAACGACAAACATTTTGCCTAAGTAATAGGCCCATAGTGGAAACGAACATTGTTCTCCCCATAAGGTTACATGTGCGAAAGCAGACGTGGTTATACATGTTACATATAAAAGTACAGCTAACACTTTATTATACCATAATGTTGCCACATCCTCCCCTAATCTCTCCGCAAATTGGAACCGTCCGTCACCCGGAAGAACTCTGCTCCACGCTATCTCCTCCCTTTCCTGTAGCAGCTGGCGGCGACCATGGTGAGTGGAAATTACTTCTCCGGTATAATCCGTTGTCATCCTTAGATTTGGGAGGTTCAGTACACGATTATACAGCCCTAGAATAGGGGAGACGGTGCGTGGAGTGAGCTGCGAGGTGTATTGGTAGGGTGCGAGTTGATAACAGAGTGATAAGTGTCATTATGGCTCCTATACCCGGTTGAAGTCAGGAAGGCCTGGCCTTGCTTGGGAAGTTTCCGTATGCTTTTAAATCGGACAAGTGTGTTGTCTATCATTGCCGTTTTCGGCTCTGTGAGCTGTGCCTTTTTAATGACATGTAGACTTGTGGCTCTCTGCGCTCTGTATGCTTTGAGCGATAGCGGGTTCCATGATCCTGTGAACCGTCATAGGATTGCCTGGACAGATTCCATAAGTGTAGTGTATAAGGACCCATTCACTAATTTAGGCTTTTCACAAAGCTAAAACGCCAAGATAACTCATTTGAAAAGTGTCGGCTCTTAACAGTCCAATGAGACTTGAAATTTACAGTCACATGACTGAAAATAAAGATACCTATTCTTGTAAAGATTTTGTGACTTGAGCCTATAGTGTGGTGACTTGCGTTGTATGCCTAAGATCAATGCAGGTTGCTGCAAGGACACAAAACTTGTTTTGTGTGTCCCATTCACATCACACTGCAGATGTGCTGTGGTGATGCATGCACTGCCTTGCAGGGACCTGAATGGAGTTTACACATTGCATATGCCACGTAAAAAAATTACCCAGTGACAGCTCTGACTGTGTGATGCAGCGCACTAGTCTGTCCACTTAACCAGAGTGTTTTAGCCGATGGGCTGGTGTGAATGGGCCCTTAGGGTCCATTCACACCACATCCAGATTACCACCAGACTGTTTCCGAACCCAAAATGTATCCCTATGCTATTTCTGGCCTCTGTTCCCACCAGCACAGTCCATTCCACACCAGAAAAATACTGCTTGTCCTATTTTGTCTGGTCTGGAACGCATCAAAAATGTCTGGAATGCACCTGTAAGACCATTTTAAGCTAAAAAAAATTAAAATGACCCTTTTTTTAAAATTCCAATCACGGCAAAAATGCAATGCACTATGTTCCAGAGCTAGTGCGGAAAATGGTGTGAACCCCAGCCTAAGTGCAAGGAATGAAAAGGCAAAACAATACAGTAGTCATTACAGAGCCATCTAGTTTTGCGTGTCAACTACCTATACTTGATGTATTTAAAGGCTGGAGGGTTTTTTTTTTTTCCTGTTGTGTTCCATTTGGTAGTCCAAAGTGATATCAAATCATTTTAGTGCTTGTTTATACTAGCATTCCAAAAGCACATCACACCTGTTGTTGGAGACCCTAGGTGCCCTAGCAGTGACTGGCATGAATTAGTTACTGAATAATGCTAATGGTGTGAACAAAGGTGAAAGGTCTCGTTCACACCTAGGCGTATTGCATATGCGCGTCTGTCGGACGTTTTTACCGCGATTCGTTTTTAAAAGTCACGTGACAAACGCGTTTCTGAAGGCTACTTGGCTGTGTCCCAATGGAAACGCGCAACAGTAGTAGTACACAAAACGGCCCAAAGTAGTACATGTACCTTTTCAGGCGTGGGCTGTTTTGTAGCGCGTTAGGGACGGGCGGAAATACGCCAAGGTGGGAACGAGACCATTGAATACAATGGGATTTATATTTTGGAGCGTTTTGTAGAGCGTTCGAGCGTAGAACGCGCTACAAAACGTTCAGGTGTGAACGAGGGCTAAGACAGTTGTCACTGGCAGAGGCTTTCCTATTGGAAGACTTCTGTTTTATTCCTGTTCCAGGGGCAACTGTGAAACTTGGTTTACCATCACTTCACCACTAGAGAGTAATTTAAAATTTGAAAGGGGTTTTCACACTTTGCAATTTTTCAAAAGCAACGAGAAATTAGGTTTTGGCATTCGATGTGTCTTTTATTATTTCACTGCTGTACCTGCTTTCTATTTTTCACACATGCTCAATACACTTGAAAAATGTGCTAAAGGACCCCACACAAACAAAGCAGAGATCTTGTAGAACAAAAAGATGGCAGTCAATTTATGCTATACAGTACTTCAAATGTTTATGAAATGTGTTTTTCAGTAGCAATTTTATTGCAAACAAAACACAATAAAATTCACATATCCTTTTAGGGCTTATTCACACCAAGCGCGGAGCAGATCCGGACCAGAGCAGGTATTTTGACCTCCAGTTCACATCGCAGCGTGCGGATCCAGACCGTATGAAAAAAATGCATCAAGCCCTATTTTACCTGTTCTGGATCTGGTCTGGAACGCATCAAACGCATGCAAGTGCCTGAAAGTCCATGTTAAACTTTAAAAAAAACCGGCCCTAAACGCATCCAAAATGCGGCACAACCCACTACACTGCGTGTGCAGAAACCTGACCGGATCTGGTCTGCATTTGGGGTGAACAAGGCCTTAAAGAGTCA